CTTTGAAACATGCTTGTTAGCAATATATCAAATGTCTACGTATTGCTTTTCTCAGCATGCATATATTATGCAAAATGCATAATTTGTATGACATGGAAATTAATTTGTCTAAATGAATGTTAATGATCTTATTGTAAACACATCATTCAATAAATAATCAGAACGTTAACTTCTCTTAGGTGATGCATGCTGGACTTCTCAAATCGTTTAGTCCTCTTACACACATCCTTTTCTTACAATTGACTGCAAACTGGAGTTGACAAACTCCCTGAACTACAGTTATTTCTTTTTTGGTTTCACTCGGATGTAGGTCTCAATACGGGAAAAAAAAGATTTCTTGCTACTTCATCGCACCATAAATGACAAGAAAGGTTACCACATTTAACATTGGCCAATGAATTAGGGTTAATGGCATGACATTCATTTTGTTCAAAATCTATTCAAAAATAGTGCTTAATGACAAGAACAGCATAAGAGAGAATGTTTTTAATCTCTCAAATAATTTTTTAGGGCATAATTGGGGTGACAAACCCTCATGACTGGGCGTCAAAGACAATAAATCTCTTTAAAGGGGTGATGAACTGAACTCAAATTTTCCTTGAGCTTTTGACATCTAAGAGGCCATATTATAAGAATATCCTGTAAGTTTCAGAACTGAAAACGTCCTTGTTAGTCCAATACAAGCTTTTATTGACACCAGGCTCAGCAAACAACTCGTTTTTCAAAGTGGGGAACTATGACGTCAAAGACGATAAAAACACGGCCAACATACTTCAACACGGCCGGTTTAGCCCCGCCCACCGATTCACGCATTACACGCATAGCAAAATAACATAGATGCCTACCTCGCGATGAGAAACTGGATCGAGAGTGAAACTCATTATAATATGCAAAACTGTAATCCAAGCAGTGGGCGTTTACTTCCAAGTCTTCAATGTGAGACGCCTAAGTTTTTTTTTATGCTGGGCTCAAAACTGGCCTAGAAAATAGCTTATTAGTTATTCATTTTGATGTTTTTTTAATGTAAAAACCAAGCGAACATCATAAATTGACCTCAGACAACAATATAAAAAAAATAACCCCCTTTAAAAAATATTTGATCATTTTTATGGCAAGGCATAGTTAGTTAAGGCTGTAAAATGTGTCTAACAGATTCCTCAAAAAAGAAATGGTATTAATTAATAGTTCATTACAATAGTTGAAAAAAACATTTTAGTTTGAAAAATATATTTTAAAACTTTTTGGAACATAATGATTAAAATATGAAGAGTTCAGATGCACAAGCCTCATTTTTATAAAGCGTGTATATTTAAGTTAAATGAAATTGAAGATTAGTGAAATTAATGAACTTAAATATACAAGCTTTATAAAAATGATCATTCTAGAAGAAAATTTCAAATGGCACTTAGAGGCTTTTGCATCTGAACTCTGCATATATTAAAATATGACATACCTTTTTAGTTGATGGTTACATCACATGACTATGTTAGAGTTAGAAAATGTAATTCTTAAAAGTGGTCTAAAAGTTGTTCAAAATGTTCGGAAACCAACATGAACACAACAAGAAAGAGCAAAGTTTTTGTTTTTTTAATTCCTTTTCTTCATCGTGGACTCTTTCTCGTCATTGACCCTCTACGGCTCAGAAAGTTCACGCTAAGTTGAAGTTTATTTTTCAAAGCTCTGTTCATGATCAGGCAAATGTATGTCAATGTGAAACAGACCTAATGAAAGCCCCAAGGGTAAAACAGAGCCGAAACCCGACACCAACAAAACATCCAAGTTAATGTCCACCTTTCCAAACACGACCATCTATATGTTCCAGTCACGGATTTCAAACACACACACTGGCCTCGCATTTCCCAGAGCACGTGGTACAAATACACGGACACTTAAAATAATCTGAAAAGCTTGCAGTGCCAAAGCAGCCTTGTTTAAAAGCCCCCACCCCGCATCACATCCTGTTCCATGAGCCGCAGTACTTGTTTATACTCCCGCGCCGGCCTGTGCCGTGTTAGCTCGGTCAGGCCCTGTGTAAAAATACACAGCGAGGTCAGGAGTTCAGGCCGGCTCTGTCCGCTGCTGGCACATCGTCCTGCCCCGCTTGTCAGCTGCTTGCCAGAGGAGGGCTCATCACCACGACTGTCAACACGCCGACGCCACCGCGCAACACGTGCTACGCGCCGGGCAACTCGCAGCCGTGTCAATCTCGGCGAGACGGCCGTAGGTTACGAAGAATTACAGGAGCCGTGTCATTTTGTGCTCTCTCAACACGTCTGCAGATGAAATATATTAGCAGAAGGAACAATTTATTGTTCCCGTCGTAGAAACCGTGTCGTCTCTGAATAGGAATTACGAGTTGAGGTGGCCGAGGTGACGACGCACTTGATCCAAAGTTCTTGTAAATCAAGGTTATTGTGAGCTGAAAAAAAAGTAGATTTTTTTTAGACACAGCGCCACTGTTTCATTGAGACAAGCTCTCGGTCGGCTCCATGACCTCCACAGTCTGTTATGAAAGCTAAGACACTGTTCCACAGCACAACTACGCCATTTCAACAAAACAGACCCGCTGCGGATTTAATAACCTCGCTTTCTTGGAATACACCTGGGACTCTACAATGTAAAACCATGAACGAGGCTGACTCTTTATTAACAAAAAAAGAAAGAATTAAAAAGGCCCTGACAAAAATGGTGGCTGCTCTCGTTTGGGCGCTCAGCACATTTGCAGTAAATGTCAAGGCGGAGGTTTGAGCCATTTTCTCTGTGGCGGCGGTGGATTTTTAGTGGTGTCTGTCTGTGCAGTGTGAAATTACACCCTCACATTAAAAAGAGACAGAAGTGAACCGAGGTACAGCTCACGGCTAATTCCGTAGGAGAGAGTACATGGTGGGGGGTTAAAGCACAAGGATCTTTCAAATCAGCCATCGGGGCTTGAGTTCATTTATTTTCAGCGTTAGCTAAACCGTGTTGCCGACAGCATTTTCAACTGAATGCAACACTTGACACTGAAAAACACTGATTTTTTTTTTCTTGCTATTTTTGGAGTGTTTACTTAAGTCACAAACATGTTACTATCAATAGCATCCACTTAAAAAGCATTAAAAAAAAAATCATTTGAATTCCCAAGCCAAGGCTAAAAAAAAAAAAATTAAAAAAAAAAAGACAAAAATACTTTTGCAAAAGCTTCTGGCTGAATATTTGATGGTTTAAATCAAACTAATATATTTATATTTCTAAAAAAAACCCACTTCCTGTTCCATTTGACAAGTTTCCTTCCTTTCAATTCCTTCCACAACTGGAAAGCCCAAACTTTTTTATGGTTTCAAACTCAAGCGAAACAAACAAAACGCAGGAATCAGCTAATGTTAATATCCCGATATGCATGCTGATCAAATGCAAGTAGGTTTGATGTTGATGATCCGATGCTCCTAATGAAGTCCTGAGAGAGAAAAGCGCCTGCGAGGAAGCTGAAATGAGCCCCCCTTGACAAAAACAACACCGGGTGTGTGTTCAACTACAAACAAAAGCTCAACATGAGGAGTGTTTTGTGTGTGTGAGGTGGGGAGGGGGAGGGGGTGACATCTCCCATGAAATATGATGAAGATAATATAGACAAAACAAACAAACAACTAATTCCCACACAGGAGGAGAGTGACATCACAACTATAATTTAACCACAAAAAAGCACCATCTTCATAATCTTACAATTCGAATAGTTTGTTTGGAGTCAAACCGGGTTTATCGCTCTAGTCAAAAGCTCTGCAGGTTCCTGGTTGCCAGGAACTGTGGGAAGAGAAGCAGGAGCAAAGAGTCAGGAAGAGGTCCAAGTCACTTTGTTCTTCATCTTGGAAACGAACTTTGAGTGAACCCCTGGTGACGCCAGGCAGTTCAAAAGAGTCAGGCATAACTCTTTCCCTCCTCGGAAAACCTTGCTAAACAAGAGGAGGAGGGAAAAAACGCGAACCTGGTGCCATGAGGCCCCTGTGATCGCTGACACTGTGGCCCTCAGAAGCCCTCTTCATTCGGTCAGAATTTCACTGACGATGGAGGAACCTCTCCACTGCAGTGCACTTCAGACAGTGTGGCAGAGAGCCAACTTTAGCTGCCATGTAATGAAATCTTTGTAAATTACACTTAGGGGCTAATTAGAAGGAAGATACGGCTGTGTGTTGTTGTTTTTTTTTGTTTTACATTTGTTGTTGTTTCTCGCTGTAGCAATCTCGAATACCTTCACTCAGGGACAATCGCATAATCAAAACAGCATGTTCATTTCACTCTAATGAATAGTGCTTCTGGTGGACTTTTTAAACTGCTCTTAAAGTGCCGTACTCAACCAGCTGCATTTTATGCACACAAAAACTTCAAAACTTATCCAGAAATAATGCAGAATCTGCATCTAACCAGACAGCGCAGCAAAGAATCAATACAAAAAATGGCATGTCACAATAAGTCGAGTTTATAAAACTCAGATGGGCATTAGCAAAACCATGAGGCAGAGTATTTTGAAGCCAACAGTCAGAATCACAATTTAATGAGTAAAATAACATCATATTCTCAAACTAAAGCCATTGATATTCTCTCATATACTGTTGGCTAATCAGAAATAACATAGCTTTCAATGCAGCATAACTTAACCACACATTGTAAAATGCTGTATTCAGTATTTTTCTGTATTCAAACTTTAGCTCAGCTGCAAAAATTATAACCATAACACACAAAATAATAATAGCTATCTATTTGAGGAATCTGAATGCTGTATAAATGACCAGATATTTCAATAGCATGATTTTTTGTGTTATTATTGTAATATCGGATTTTTCACATGATGCAGTCAAAAAATCTAATAACGCATATTCTCACAAGACACATCACTGTATTAAAGAGCTCTGTAGCAACACAAAAAAAATCAATATTTCAATATTCAGCTAAATGTGATAACTGGATTTAAACAAAGACTTGCAAGCTTTCGCTTTCTGTTCTCTATGTGAGACAGTAAAACTCACCTGTTTTTTCTTTTATTTCACACAGGACATTGAATAGAGCCGGCTTCATTCTGTGACAGTTCAGTGCATGTTTCCTAAAAACACAAACAGAAAATAAATAACAAGCTGTCACTTTGCATGGCCTGTCAAAACTGTCAAAACACAGACATTAGGCTTAGAAGGAATATGTGATTTAAGAAATTTTGAGTATTTTACAAATGGTTTTTGATAGAAGACAGCTGAAAATGGGACTAAATTGCTACAAATACTCAATTAAGGAGACTGGCTGCTTTTCTTTTAAAAAAGTAGAACAATAAATATATCATGAATAAATATAAATTACATATAGGATTTCAAATGTATGCATTCATTTCAAAGTGTTTTAGAAACACCTGTGTTGATCGTTACTAAGGCTAATAAGGTTAAGTGACTTAATTTCTCATAAACTAGTATTCATACAGCCTTATTGATCTGAATGCCTATAAATTGATGTTATATTACATTTAAAAAAAACATTAATTTGTAAAGTACCAGTAGCCTATACAAATACGATTTTCTTTACGAATGCATGCTCACTAACATCTATTTAATTATTAGATATTTGCAGTCCAAAAACTAGGACTGAATCCACCCGCAACATGTAGTAAGTCTATATGGCACTGAATCAATGCGCCTTCTCATTTGTAACCTGCGAGATCCGGAGCAATTGGAAATCGAAACGATGCATCTGGGAAGAAGAAGACGACAGCTCCAGAATGATTGTGCACAGAGGCGCTCGGAAGTGGCTGTAACGTGTTTGTAATGCAATATAAAAAATGTACGCCTGCATAAAAGTTTGAAAGAAGACACAAAAAGAAAGTCTGTGCGCTTCGGGTGGCGCGCGTCAAAATATAAACCAGCTGACTTATTAAATACTGACGGCAGTAGCTACTATGAAGATGATAAGAAAAAGACATGCATGCATACACTCTTAGAATATATACCTGGCCTGTGCCTCGTCCAGACTTTGGTCGGTTATGGTCATGATTTGTTGTAATATGTCTCCAATGTCCTGTTTTCTTCCCTCGCCGTCCGCTCCTCCCGTGCCATCCTGCATATGCTGCGCCAGGCCGGGGTGTCCGGCCATGCCCACCCCGTGAGAGGAGTGCATCAACCGGGGCTGATCATCCATCCTCGCCGCTGTTCTCTAGACTCTGGTGACTTTTTCAATTCTTCCCTAGGAGAGGGAAAATTCCTTCAGAAACTCTCGCCGTCACTCCCCCTTTCGCTTTCTGGATGTCTGGAGCGCGCTTACAACATGGAGGGAGGGAGAGAGGGGAGAAAAGGCAAAGCTCCCTCTCACAGCTGGTTTGGGTGAAATCTGATCTGGAGAGCTGCTTTAGGACCAAGCCACTCCTGCTCTTGCCACCAAAGCCAAGACAACAGAGCCCAACTTTGTCTAAGGGCTGCTGTAATCCTGTATAATCTGCGACTCTGCCGCGTAACTCCTTGTTTCCTCTGACAGCTTTACGACTGAAACAGCTCTAAGACGTGCTTTGAAGGCGTTAAACGTGGGGAGAGAAGAGCTTTTGTTTCGCACAGGTCTGCTGGCAACACTGACACATAACGGGAGGCTCCGCCCACCGACACTGGCACACAGCGATGGGGACCCGCCCTTTGGCCGTGATTGGACGAGAGCGCGCTGTTGTCCCCGCCTTGGTTCTTCCAAGGTACGTCAATCATATTACTGAGGAAGGTGGGTCGCCGTAATAAGCTTTAAGATGTGGCGTTAGCGCTTGGACTGGACAGGGTGGTAACACGGTGATGGATAGGGGTTGAAGATGAAAATAAATAATGGTGTTTGGCGTACAATCCCCTGTGTCCGCTCGAGACTTCCATGTTATCTGATTCTGGTCATTTAAGATCTGTTTTCATTTGATGCCACCGTTGACATTTATGAGCACAATTTACGTTTGCCTTTAAAGAGTCCAAACAGAGTTGTTAATGTGTTACACAAAGAATAAATCAAACATGGCTGGTGTAAATAGTCACATGACCAGAGGTGTTTGTGTATTGAATCATTCAGATTAGATTACACTGTCATATAACACAGATGTAATTTTGACACGTGCATATTGATTGATTCTCTAAGTCTTGGCTGGAAACAAAGCATCTAATTCTAGAAATATTTTTCAGATGATGATAGGATCCTGATTTAGTTATTGCTTTGATATGACTACTGAAACTAAGGTCTGACTCTAGAGACACACCAAGATTCCTGACTTGATTTTTAGTTGTTACCCCTAGCGTCAAGGTATGCATTCACCTTGAGATCTTTTCCAAACGCAATGACTTCAGTTTTGTCTTTTTTTAACTGTAGAAAGTTTTAGCACATCCAACTTTTTACTTCATCAATGCATTGGCACAGGGAGTCAACGGGGCTGTAGTCGTTAGGCGATAGGGCTAAGTAGAGCTGTGTGTCGTTCTGCATAGATGTGGTAAGCGATTTGCTTTCTCATTATTTGGCTCATTGGGAGCATATACAGGTTGATTAGGAGTAGCGCAAGAATCGAGCCTTGAGGGACTCCGCAAGTCATGGATGTCCACCCAGACTAGTATACTCACATAATAACCTCTCCCTTCTAAGTATGACCTGAACAATTTTAGGACTATCCCAGAAAGCCCCACCCAGTTTTCCAGCCTGTCAAGAAGTATGTCGTGATCGACAGTGTCAAATGCAGCACTGAGGTCGAGTAGTACCAGTACTGATAATTTGCCTGTATTTAAGCGAATACCGTTTATTATCTTTATTAGCACTGTGATGGGATCGGAAACCAAATTGAAAATGGTCAAAGTATCCATTCAAGCTTAAGAATTTGTTCAGCTAAGTGAAGACAACTTTTTCAATGATCTTGCCTATGAAAGGAAGATTTGAGATCGGTTTATAGTTGCTTAAGATGGCCTTATCCAGATTGCTCTTTTTCAAGAGGGACTAATCTGTTTAACACACTTTTGAAAAAAGATATAAATAAAACTTGCTGAGAATAACTTGGGAATTACATTGGTTAAATTTGTTTGACTGGGATTTTTGTAAAGCATTTAACATGACAGTCTATATAAGGCAAGTCTCTTATTAAAGGATATTTATTCTCAACATTTTTTGCAACAAGACATCTTTTTTCCCTTCTTTTCTTCTATGTAAATGACTATCAATATATTAAACTACATGTGTGTGTATATACATTCATTAAAATAAAAGATTCTGCTGAAAGACACCATGGTCACTCAATGTATCTTGGAAAAATGATCAGACAGGCAGTTTGCTCAGCCGTGGTCTATTTAACGGTATTAAATTCACTGGCTATTGACATGGGGCTCAGAATGTGGCAGAAATGTCACGCTCTGGCTGCAGGTGCTGGGAAAAGGACCAATAAAGAGAGTGTTAAAGAGGCCATTTCTGATGCCTGAGTACCCATCACTGGAACAAATATTCCAGAAGCACCACTCCAACTATTCATATGATGTCTCATCCACATGCTCAACATATGAGGTGTGTCACCTTCCATTATGTTCCATATGAGAAACGACACCACTTTAACCTGTCCTACTTAGACTGCTGACATATACTCGTTGTATAGATAATATTTCAACATTTTATTGGAAACAATATCATCAATTTCATAGAGCAAACAGTTATGTGAGGGATATAAATCCTTCACTGTATTTGATATTCAGAGCTCATGTATTAAATTCAGATGGTTTAGGCAAAAAAGATTATTAAACAACAACAAAATAAAAACCCCTACTAAGAAAGATAGATAAGTGCCAAATTACAAATAATTTAAAATGATCAATAGCCTAGTTTTATCCTATCTATGGGAATAACCAACCCGTTAACATGACAAAATGCAGCTATTTTTTGATGTTGTGATTTCATATGAATTAGAAAAAAAGCATGAAGGTCCACCCCTAAACTTAAAGGTCCACTGATGTGCCTTGGAACATGCAGCTTTGTATGATGCGTTGACGTAATTTCCACTGAAGCTAAGGAGGGACATAAACAAATGTCTGTAGAGAAGCGCTTCCTGGACTCAAGTGTATAAGTTTGAGGTGCTCTTTGGATAGGAAAAAAACATATAAAAATAAACAGGAACATCCAAGGCACTCACTTTAGAAAAGTTAAAAAGCCTTTATTACTATGGCTTGGTCATAATCAACATTAAAAAAACACTCCAACGTGTTTCGGCATACAAGCCATCGTCCGGGAGTCACTAAAGGGGGGACATATTGAATGGCTCCTACCCTTTTCAAATAGCCAATAGTGTTTAGTTTACCTCACAGACTGCAAGTCGTACTTGACAGCCCCATGGAAGCGAATCCGAGTGCTGATGATAACCTATACGTTGGATTCAATAGTAGAGGTGTGAATAAATTCTAGCCATTTCATTCTTAACCAACATACAATTGGAAAATGGAATCAAATTCAAGTGTTTGAGCAACCCAATAACCCATATTGCATCATGACGTTTCAATGGCCGCTTTGACCAGGTGGTATTTATAGCATAGGAGGCGGGACACTTTAGATTCTAGAGAGCATTTGATTGGACAGAAGATGTGATGAGAAGCTGAAGTCTGATGTCATAAAAAAAATCCGTGATCAATTTTAGCAGAAATGAGATTGTGAGTTTTGAATGCTTATATCTCCTAAATGGGAAATTTGTTATTGTTCTGGAACACACCAGTTTATTCATATGCTGCGTTCATGTGCTATGGTAATTATGGTAAATACCAAAAGCCGACGTGGAAAATGCACATGAACACCCCCTCATGTGGTATTTTCCACTGGGCAACTCGTAGAATATTTTGATGGACGAGTTGCCGAGATGAGATAACCTTTGAACTTTTCAAAATGGCGACGAGTCGTGAATGGTAAAAATATATACTATTCATGATCATGAAATATACAGCATATTATTTACCTTTTGAGTTTTGATAAATCATTTTCTTGCTGTTGCAGATGACTTAAGCAATCTAAAATAGGTTTAGCTAAATAACAGGTCTGGATCTCCATCTTTTTACCACATTACGACAACAAAAGCACTTGAACGCAACACACTGGTAAATACCAATTCACAAGTGGAAAATATCCTATTATTCCTGTGAACGCAGCAATAATCTTAAGGCCAACATAGCTATTCATTCTAAAAGCTAAAAAAAAAAAAATTTGATTTCAGGAGGCCTTTAAAGCTGTAGTCCACAGTTTTTCCTCTTTGTCGCCCTCTCTTTTCGAAATCTGCTATTGCAGTCATTCGCAGAGTTATCAACTTTATGAGAGTTGTACCTCGGCTTGGCACAGCGCGGATGAATCCAATGTTTGAGGAGAGTGTCATCTAAACAAATAAGTAACATCTAATCCAACTAAGGGTTAAAAGCTTTGCTAAATGTAAATCACGCTGATTAAATCCAACGATCGCTTATCATATCACTTCAAACCGAAATTATACTTTGTTAATGTTAACAACATCAGCATTGCGTGACTACATTTAAAGCTCTTCAGATATGTGTGTTTTTCGCATGGGCCAGATTGCAGTCTCTTTTATTTTCCAAAACTCTCAGCCCAAAGTTGTTTGCAGTTTACAACGGGTGAGTCTCCAGTTGTCACTGGTGATTGTCATTTAAACCTTTCTGCATCCGCCATCAAATTAATGCTGTGAGAAAAGGCTATAAATCTCCACCTCCAACATCCTAACTCGAATTTCCAGCGTAAATCCACCAGTACCACTGGAATTTAAAACAAGCTTACCATTTTGAATCGAGCTAAGGCAAGCCGATAGCTTTGGTACTTGCTCAAAAATTTATTTTGGATTATTTTTAACACAAAAAAGTTACGGACTGCAGCTTTAACCATCAAGGGGGTATAAGCAGATTGTAAAATGCATGGATGGCATCATACCAATGAGCGGCTATTGCAATTTGTATATGGTGAATTGGAATAACGGGATGTTTCTCTGCGAATAATGGCAAAATGGGATCACTCTTGGTAAAAGACATTTTTCACATCGTGGCAGAAGTTAAATCGATCAATCAGATTTCTCATTAGTTGAAGAAGAGAAGGAACTAGTTAATGATGAAAGGAATCAGCCCTGCTGCTGTGATAGTATCTGAAGACTGCTGGGCTGGAACAGATGTATAGGCTAAGTGACCTTCCTCTGTAAAACCAGACCACACTGATTGCCTGACCTCTTCACAGCTATAGCCTACAGCCAGAACAGACTCTACAGCATCATGTATACCGTAGACACACAGCTCAATGTCAAATATCTTCAATCCAAACAGGAAAAAAAAAGTATTGACTCACAAACACAGTTGGCTGCTTGTATTTGTCCAGAAATGGTTGCAAAAAAAGTAACTGCTGCATAAACAGTATGAACATCTCTTTTTAATGAAGAAAAATGCAACATCAGGCTTGAATATAGCCTTTTGATATAGCTTGCCATTTTTAAACATTTCCCGGTCAGTGTCAGAAATTGCCCGCACATTAAAAAAAACGATGCCCAGTCTGAATTTACAATGAGCTTCACGCAGCAAATAACACACTTACTGATATTTGACATTCTCTTGTAGACGCTTGAACTCTTGTGGTTTGAATTTAGAGTAGTTTGGTTTTC